ATACAAGTAAGGTCCAGCACAGGTTTTTTTTTTTTTTTTTTTTTTTTAATACTGGGGGCCCAAAGGCCCCAGTTGGAGAACTGGGGGTGTCATGGGGGCCTCCCTTCCCACTTCCACCATCAGTGATCTGTGCCCCCATGTGGTGCTCGTCATCTGGGCCTTCCTCCTACCAGCAGGTCCCCTGGACTCGCTGCCTGGCAGTCAGTGCATGACAGCTGCTGGCTGATTGTAGTAGTGCAGCATAGATGTGTCCTGTGCTTATAACGAGAACATGTCACGTTCTCCTGGCTTCCCATTCAGCTCCTGGTACTGCATGAGGGCCGGGCCTTGGTCTTCATGGGATGCTGTGGCCAACAAGCCCAAGGGACACATGCGGGCACAGGAACAGGACCCCTGCTTACCTCGCTGAGCTGACACTCCTGACAGTCAAACGTGGCTCTAACCCACCCTTGAGCAATGATGAAGGCTCCGGAATGACCAGCCCTATTATAGCTCCTTGTCCTATAGCTACTGTGAGGGTCTGGAAAAACAACTGCAGGCGAGGGATGTAACAGGACAAACGATTTACCGATAAGTCTGGGCTTATCCGTTACCGTGAACGGTCACACACCGACTCCCCGCCCTGGTGCCGGCTGCCACGCTGCACTGCTGGCTCTGTCGGAGCCGGCCGCTGCCCACGCTGCGATCTCTGCATTATAAGCTCTGTGCCCCAGCACCCGCAGGATGCAACCACAGAGACTTTCATCAGTTACAGGATTATCAAACGAACCGCTCAACATGCCTCCTTCAGTCAGCGGCCGTTGAACTGGCGGCGGGCGCAGACTAGTGTTCGTGTGCGGGGCGCTCCTGGTTTTGGTGATGGGGCACCCCAAACGGCCTGCTTGCATGTTGGCTGAGCACCGCCCAGCCGAGCTCCCTTCTCCCTGCGGCTTCATCGCTTGCCAGAAGGAGCACAACATGGCCCTTTCTAGGAGGCAGAGTGGCAGTTGCAATGTGTTACTGACTCGGCTCTTCAGAGCCTTGCTGGCAGGATGTGCGGGGCGCTCCTGGTTTTGGTGATGGGGCACCCCAAACGGCCTGCTTGCATGTTGGCTGAGCACCGCCCAGCCGAGCTCCCTTCTCCCTGCGGCTTCATCGCTTGCCAGAAGGAGCACAACATGGCCCTTTCTAGGAGGCAGAGTGGCAGTTGCAATGTGTTACTGACTCGGCTCTTCAGAGCCTTGCTGGCAGGAAGGGCCTGGTCCGCAGCCGGGGGGGGGGGCGGATGGCGGGTGGCCTCGCTA